CCACTCCATCAGTTCACCCCCGCACTCCATCAGTTCACCCCGCACTCCACCAGTTCATCCCCGCACTCCACCAGTTCATCCCCGCACTCCATCAGTCCACCCCCACCCATACACCTACCCCCTTCACACTATCGCTTTATCCCCCTTGCCTATATACACGATAAACAGCGATACATAGGTTTCAAAATGAATAGCCAAAAATCGGTAAATCTCCTTCTTTTCCTCATCACACCTGTCACTCATCCCTTACACACTTTCTAACAATTTCCCTGCCTGTCTACTTTTCGCAAAAGTCACGTAGTTTTTTGGGCAACTTTTTTCTTGACACGTGCAAACTTCAAGCAGACGGCATACGTCGTTTCTCTTGGAAGAAACTTGGAAAGCAACTTTTTGCTTGATGTTTTTGTCTTCATTTCGATGCAGTAGTAATTTAATCAAAGCTACTACTCTCAAAATAAATAACCAAAATTGCCATAAATGCCACAAACATTTCGTAATTTCTTCTCCATCAAACTTTAACGCTCGAAGATTGCTGAAGTCGCACTTGGTCGACTTTTCTGACCCATAGTGGAGATAGGTTTAGTTTTGCAGCTCTGTGTGGTTTAGACTCTCACGTGTATGCTACACACTTCATTCGGGCGGACGTGATTTCACTTCATTTCAAATGTGAATGCGCAAACTTTCACACGTCTCACATTGTAAGAACCATTCTATGTGTTAAGATGTAAGAGGATGTGTGTGTGTGTGTGTGTGTGTGCGTGTGTGTGCGTGTGTGTGCGTGTGCGTGCGTGTGTGTCTGTATTAGCGTGTAAAAGTGTAACCGCATTAATTTGTATCTGTAAACTTGGAAACGAAATACATTTGTTGTAAATGTTTAGGAGGATATAAGTACTCTGTTAAACGTATTTATGCGCAGGAAAATGTGCTTATATTCTTACTTGAACAAAATGTAATTTCTTTATCCCTTTGTGAAGTAGCTATTTAAAAGCACTTATATTTGCTAAACTGCCATTTATGCTTGCTGAACTGCTATGTATTGACCCTGAAGCACTTGTGTACGTTATTTTATACTCTTGCTACATTCTTCTATAATAATAACTTTAGTTATTAGATCTAATTCCAGACAGAGGAAACACAAGATGCCGCCACGAAAGGGTAAAGTAAAGGAGGAACAGCCAGTGGTTACTTTAGGACCACAAGCTAAAGAAGGCGAAAATATATTTGGTGTCGCACATATTTTCGCGTCGTTCAATGATACTTTTGTTCATGTCACTGATATATCTGGTCAGTTGGTATTTCGTTCCGTATAATGTTTATTATTATACGAAAAAGGCGTGTTCTAACTTTTCTTACTTAATTTGTAAGGAATTTAGTTTTTCACGTGGTATGTAGTATTTAGGAATACTAATTCGAAAACTACTTTTATGAAAGCGAAAGAAATACTTTGCTCGTTTCAAAACGTTTTACCGTTTACATTGCTGTTTGCTGAACATGGATCCGTAGTCTAAAAGCTTTCAGTCCTCATTTGTCCTCTCTCATTTATATCACTTCATCTCCCTATGTTTTTAAAAAGTTTAAAGTTTGAACAGTATCTTTAGGTCCACTGAAGTCTCCCTCATCTTTCAGTAAGTGAAGACTTTTTTGTTTGTATATTTGTTACGCATTCATGTGTACTTCAGTTCAGTCCCCAATGGCGAACTGTGGAAGGGACGAATGCTAAATTACCATTTGGTGTATTTTTAATGGGCTCATTATATGCTTATTCGATTATGGCATCAAATCACAGCTGTGTCACATTTTCACTTATTTCTAACATCTAAACTTCTGACAGATATTGCTTTGCAAGATATTTCTGGGTCATTAGTTGTCCTTGTATAATATATTTCACATCTCAGTTCCCAGTTACATGTGAAGTTTATGACGTATTTTCACCTTCAAGACATCTGATTTAGGTCGAGAAACAATTGTGCGTGTAACTGGTGGTATGAAGGTGAAAGCGGACCGTGATGAAGCATCACCTTATGCTGCCATGCTCGCTGCTCAGGATGTTGCTGAACGTTGTAAAGCAGTAAGTTTATCGTTGCTTTTGCTAAATATGATCAGTGGATTTTCATTAAATGGCGCGGAAAGTTATGAAAAAACGCGGAAAGTTATGAAAAAAATAAAAAAAAAACTTATTTGTTTGTGTAAAAGTGAATGGGACTCATTATGTAGTTTTGAAATATAACGGTCTTGGTCGATTCCTTCGAAATTATATGACCAAATGGTGAAATCGGAAAAACTAGACTTTCTTTGAGATGTGTACAATTTCAGTAACAGTCAACGCCCAGTGATGCTTAAATTATCAGTTGCCTTTCTGAGTTATCATGTCTTTGCTGATATGGTCTTCTGAGGGCTGTTATGTCTTACTAGTTTTCATCTTCGTTGTTATTAACTCAAATGCATATGAGCCTTTTTAGCTATCAATTAACGCTTTGCACATCAAGTTGCGTGCAACAGGTGGGACAAAAACAAAAACTCCAGGACCGGGCGCGCAGTCAGCGCTTCGTGCATTAGCTCGTTCTGGTATCAAAATTGGGCGAATTGAAGATGTAACGCCTATTCCAACGGATTGTACCAGACGAAAGGGTGGTCGTCGTGGTCGCCGTTTGTGAACTGTCGAAGTTTTACAGTTTGTATGCAAATCAGTGTAGCCCTATATAATCGATTGTTACTACGGCTGATAAAGTTTATGGACAGTAGTGTTTTTTTTTTATTCACAATAAAAGTGGAACAAATTTGGTTGGAGAGGTCGATCATTTTGTGGTTAAATACAGTTATTTCTTCATGAACGACAAAAGAGTGTTTCATGTGAACCTTAACTAGAGGAAATGGGAAGAGGATTCAAAAATAGATTGTTGACATATGAGGAAGAACCCTGTATTGTTTTCATTGCGATAAAGAACCAGAGTTGTGCAAATATTTTTTACGAGAGCATGATCAGGATCATCCAATTGTAATGCAGTACTCCTGTTGACAACACTGAGTCATAAAATATGGTACAATATCCACTAAATTTGTAGTAAAAGCTAATAAAACAAATGGTTTTAGTCCGTCATTTTTATACCTAATACGGTTTTATAAAATCATATTTTGCTTCACTGTAGATATGTACTACACTGCTTTTGCCACGGCTCTGTTATTATACGTCCAGGAATGCAGTGGTTAGTTCGTCCGTTTCTGACTTTTTTGCTTAAAATGAGAAATATTAGTGGAAGTAGAAATAAATCTTCCATATTATGGTCTTTTGAATTTCGAGGGGATTGGCATCGTGACCAAAATTCATGATTCACTTGATTGAAGTCTGAAGATGGTTGAAGTATGAAGGAGGTTCTTAGTCAGTGACACGTAAGGCAACATACGGGAAGGACCATTCCTTAAAGATGTGTCGCGCATGCTTGAGATAATTATGTTGCGAGAATTTATGTTAAAATTATGTTGCGAAGGGTAATTCCATTCTTGATATCAGTTTAGGAATTTTCGTCAAGTTAACAGCGCCATATAAATCTGCGAAAGAACAGAAGATGAATTCGCTAAGGAAAATGAGCATTTAATTTTTACATGCAGAAATTTCGTCAGGGTGATTTTTATCATGCCTCTTCATCCGTCAAATTAATTTTTAGGTATCGGTCGTTTATGTCGAAGTGGGAGGCAATGCCCGGATGGGCAGTATTGCATTTGGGGAAAATGTCTTTGCTTCAATGAAATGGTCCTGATGAATGATAGATGTGTTCTGAACTTTTATTGCCGAAACGGGCAGGAGGCCTTCCCATTGAAACTCATCTGACATTAAATGACATTAAATCATTTATTCTAATATTGAGGGTTGAGATGAAATTGACATCTCATATATAAATTATCCAAAAAAATGAGGAAAACTCATTGCGAATAATTTTTATTATTATAATGTGGTCAACAACTGTCATCTCTCTTACTTAGAAACCAGTCGACAACATTTACAATAAATGAGTAATAAGCAAATTGAAATTTTGGGCGTGTTTATTACCATCATATTGCATATATTATCACTACATTACATGCTATTATCAACATATGCTTTGATGTCATCATGTATAATTTTGCACTCATATAAAGGTCATGATATATATAAGATAAGCTTAAGATTATATTTAAATAATCTTATCATTCACAAAATTTTGCGCCTTAAATTACGCACGAGAAATTTACCGTTGTAATGCTGGAAATGAATTTGACATGTTGACATTTTAGTATAAGTATGATCTCAACATTTAACGCAACCTTCATCTGTCGATTTTTTTAATTCTTTTTCCAATTAAGTTTTTGAAAAAATTGGGAAATATTGTATTAACACAATTAGTATATAAAAGAGAATCAATAAATGAACGAGATTTTAAAAATGATGTAAAGTCGGGGATTATATTTAAAAATCTTATCATTCGCAAAATTAGATGTCTCCAAATCGTCGCTACTATTGCTTTATTTACTTATATCAAGATTTTGGCCTGATTTCCTAGCCTTATTTTAATTTTTCTTCTACTACTATCAAGGATATTGTATCCTTAAGAGTAGAGTTCGTTTTTGTTTACAAAATTGAAATTAAGGTTTATCACAATGGACAATGTTATTACCTATCAGCGATCGGTGATAAATGCCTTATCAATGAACAGTGCTATGGTGAATCATCCTGCATAAATGGTTCTTGCGCTTGTCTTCACGGTTCATCATTATAACATTTCTTTTAATTTAATACTGATCAGATTAGGCAACAAACATCGAGTGAAAATTGAAAAAAGATTCAAGGACATAAATCAAGTTCTTATTATCTTCTGGATTGATGTTTAAATCCTAATACTTCAATTCGTTTTATGGATCATTATATCATGCAACTTGAGCTGGGAATTTCTCTTATAACGCTGTAAAAGTGATAGAAACATTTTTCAACTTTCAAGTACATTAATAGGTCAAACATCTAAATTTGTCAATACGATACTAATAAAAAAGAAACAAAGTTTGAGAGATTTCTGTCGAACTATCCATTGAATATCATTGAATAAGAATAAAACTAAGCTATTAAGATGCTGTCACATATCACTAAGGTGATTACATTTTCCCTAATCTAGTTATCATGGAAATTCTAACCAGATACGACTTATTTTATCAAATAACGGAAGTGCTCGTAAGGAAGGTGAATAATAAACTGTAGAAAGAAAGGAGGGATTTGCAATTTACATCTTTGAATGTATTTCCACTAAATATTCAAAATGCTACCAAAGTATTGCCACTTTTTTTTTTCCAAATAATTAATTAATTCAAATTAGATTAAAATATAAAAAAGTTCTGGGATTTAATTTTTATCTCTAAATTGTGTTTTTCTGCAGAGACAGTTAACGTGAATGGATTGTGTCAAAAAAGGAGTCCTTCTGTCCATCAATGCGAAATTCATCAAGTTCTTGTCAACGGACGGTGCTTAGTTATTACTATGATTGGGGGGGTATGTCAAGTAGATGCACAATGCAACGGTGGCGCTTATTGTTTGAATCAACGCTGTTCGTGTCCTCCAGGAACTGTTCAAGATCAACAAATGTTTCTCTTTTCCTTTTATTAATTGCTTTTGTTTAGTTTTAAAATCAAAATGTATCTCAATATTTTTTAAAGTAATTGAAAGTGTTAAACCACTTCAAGGTTAGCCGAAAAAAAGAAAAGTAGTGCTAGATAGACATGATAACCTTCTGTTCTACATAATTTGATCTTTTAAACGAAAACAATTTCGTAGTTTTAGTTTCAATAATAACAATTTAATCAATAGTACTAATTCAATAAAAATAAAAACAATAAAAATAGCAATAATAATAATAATATAATAATAATAATAATAATAATAATAATAATAATAATAATAATAATAATAATAATAATAATAATAATAATAATAATAATAATAATAATAATAATAATAATAATAATAATAATAATAATAATAATAATAATAATAATAATAATAATAATAATAATAATAATAATAATAATAATAATAATAA